CTTGCTGCCTCTCATTTCCTTGATTCAGAGGGGAGAGAAGGGGGGGGCCTCAGCTAAAAGGAAGACCTTGCAGTCTCACCTACGTGGCTGTGGTGGGAGCAGGAAGTGGTGTAGCAGCCCCAAGGTCTCCTGGGATGCTGGATGGTCCTCTTCTGAACAGGAGTGAGCCTGTCCTTCTCCTAGCAGGTGCCAGCAGCACAGGGACAGGGTGACAGCATCGCTGGGGTGGCAGTTGCCCCTGAGATGAGACAGAGGGCTTCCCATTGTCTCGAGGTTAACAGAATAGACTTGTGGTTCTTATCAACCCCACCAGATGGATCCAGCTGTTTCACTTTCTACTCCATCCCAACCAAACACACTTAAAGTTCAAAACAACACTTACATCATTGAAACAAAAGTGTTTACAGTGTGAAGGCTTTTAGTAATTTAAGTCATTAATCTAGTGACAAAGGGAGGGGTGTGCTCTTCGTGGCATTGAGTCTGGGAAAATCCAGGGTTTTCCTGAGACCAAAGGATTGAAAGGAGCTAGAGATCGAGATGGCAGTGGAGGAGGTGGATGTTACACTCACCTCCTCTCACCTCCTCTCATGTCCAAACTGGAATTACAACTGAAATATAGAGCAATCAAACTGAACTGCCAACTGAAGACTCACCGAAAATAAGTCTTACCACCAAGGAATTACAGAAGAAGCCACACTGAGACTGGTAGGAGGGGCGGAGATGCAAATAGGGCTGGCTCCGCTCCCATGGCAGGGATTCCAGAGAGATATCTCAGCTGTGGGGTTTCCCCCAGAGAATCATGGGGTCTCAACTGCAAGCCTAGAGCCAGGAAGTGGCGCCCACATAACATCTGGCTGTGAAAATTTGTGGGGATTTTATCTACCAGGGAGAGATGGAGTCTGCTAGAGACACAGGCACCCTCAAAGAGGGTCAACACACACAATCTCATTCACAGCCACTTATCCTGGGCTCTGGCAGAGGGAGGGTAGAGTGGACTAGAATTGTTAGAAGAGAGACTGGAGTTTGTGGCTCAGGGGAGAAAGCTGAGGGGGCAACCACTGTGAGCACTCCCTTCCATAGGGCATGAGCTTGGGGAAATACAATAGCTCTATCCTCTGGACTCTCTGTTGCCCCACCCTGAGGAGCTCACACCCTACCAAGGAGTCAGCTGCCTGGGTCTGGGTGTAGAGGTCTGGGCAGTCTCAGTTACTGAGTTTATGTGGCTTTGGGGCAGAGGATATTCCCTCCACTTTCCTATAAACCTGATAGGCACCTCCCTCTCAAGGGAGATCTGCTAGCTCTATTCTACAGGCTCCTGGCAGCCCCACCTTCCCCACTCCTGCAGAATCTGGGACAGAGTGAGTTGTGTGGCTCTAAGATGGGGGCCAATTCCCCTCCCAACCCCCCATTGAATGGAAGGGAGGGGGAGAAACACAGAGAGAAACATTGATCTGAGAGAGACACATTAATTGATTGCCTTTCACATGCACCCGACTGGAACTGGGGATCGAGCTTGCTTACTGGGGATCAAGGTATGTGCCCTTGACTGGAATCGAACCCACAGCCCTTCAGTCCAAGGGCCGATGCTTTAACCACTGAGAAAACCAGCTAGAGCAGGGGACGATTTTTACCTCACATGCCTGAGCAGTGCAGAGCCTCCCTTCACACGGCCAAATCTTGGTCTGTTTGGGCCTGATAAACGCTGCTGGCTTCACCCTGACAGCTCCCTGAGACCAGCGGGTGGTAGTTACACCTGGAATGCCCTGGGACGTTTGCTGAGTGGCCTCAGACCCAGCACTGACGATGAGTTTGAACCTGTGATCTATCTGGTGAACACCACTTGCCCCTACACAGTGACTCACTGAGAACCTACCTCATGCAACTCTAGTGCCACCAGAGGCTGTTGCAGTGGTTGAGCCTAACAGGCAGTCGGCCTGTGGAGACAGGTGGAGGCTGAAATTGGGGTGCCTTGGGACTTTTGCTGACCTGCCCCTGGGCCTGGTGCTGGTTAAAGCTGGCCTTGGTGTGCAACTTGGTCTTTCCTGCACTCCGAGGCCCAGCAGAGGCATCCACAAACTGTGGATCACTTTGTAGCTTCAAACAGGTTGCCCAGGGCCAGTCACAGGCAGCATCTGACATTGGCCGGCACCAGAGTCCACCCCAAGAGGCCTCAGAACCAACATACCCAGTGGCCAGCTTCAGACAACATCAGAGCAGGATCCAGTTAAACTTCCCAAGTGGCATATCCAGTGCGAAATCTTGGCAGGCACCAGACCCTACTGAGGCAAATTCCGTTTCCTTAGTTAGCACCTGCAAACAGCTTGTACACTGAGGTATGGGCCGATCAATCCCCACAGCCAGCCAGCCTGAGGGGCGACCCCACACAGGAATAGGCCAGTAGAGATCAAGACTCAATTACCACAGGAGGGCCCACATTAACCCACATAAGGGACATTCCTAGAACTCCCATCTTAGGTGATTAAGGAGACTATGCCACTGGGTCCCACACAACACCTGCTATATAAGGCCATTCTACCAAGACTAGGAGTCAGAGAAGAAACCAACACAAAGAAGCAACACAAATGGGGAGACAAAGAAACATCTCCCAAATGAAGAAATAGGAGAAATCTCTAGAAAAATAGGTAAATGAAATGGAGGCAAGTAATTTACCAGATATATAGTTAAAAAAATGGTTATAAGGATGTTCAAGGAACTTCAGTGAGAACTTCAACAAAGATAGCAAGCATGAAAAAGGACACCAGAAAAAAAAGAAGAATACAGTATCTGAAATGAAGAATACACTAGAAGGAATAAATAGTAGCTCGGATGAAGCAGAGGATTGAACCAGTGATTTGGAAGACACAGTAGAAGAAAACATCCAGAGCAGAAAACATAAAAAGGAATTTAAAAAATGATGATAGTGTAAGGGACCTTCTACCCCAGCATGTGCCCTAACCAGGAATCAAACCGGCAACCTTTAGGTGCATGGGACAATGCCCCACCAACAGAGCCACATTGGCCAGGGCAGTACTGTTTCTTAATACCAAACCAGATCATAGAGGAGACTTCCTGAAAGCAATTTGAATGGCTATAGCGGTTTAAGTAGCATTTATGATTTTTTTATTTATGAAAATGCTCCCAAAGTTTGTTTATGAGTTGAACAGATTGCCAAGGATGTTATTTTATATTTAAAGTTCCTCTGCAAACTGTTGAAGAATAAAGAAATTCCTAAAAAAAGTGCTAGATCTAGATCACTAGTTAATACAGAGGCACTCTCAATCCCAGCTTCTTCTTCTTCTTTTTTTTTTAAAATTGATTGATTGATTTTAGAAAGAGAAAAGAAGGGAGAGAGAGACATACTGATTTGTTGTTCCATTTATTTATGTATTCATTGATTTATCCATGGATGTACCTTGACAGGGGGTAGAACCCGCAACTTGGCATATTGGGATGATGCTCTAACCATTTGAGGGCCCCAACTTCCTTTTCTTCCTCCATTTCTCATGGGTACCTTGTCCCCCTGAATAGCTCATGTATCAGCCCCAACTGGAATAACTCAAGTAGAAAGAGTTTACTTTGGACTCAGTTACTGCTTTTGATGAGACACTGTGTGGTGGTGTTTTTGGTGGATGGACAATTCACCTTTCATACTGACCTGCCTTGGTGTCGTTTCTTCCTCTGGCTTAGAGCCCCTCATTTGGGACAACCTTGAGACTTTCGGGGTAACTTATCAGTGTGAGAATAGCTCTGTGAACCATTTTCCTCAGTTAGAATATCGCAGTTTGGAAAAATTTTGTTCAGTTTAGTTGACTTTAATGTGCCACAGTCAATAAAATTTAAGATTACACCAGAGAGCAGGCAGGTTTCCTTCCAAAGGCCCCGTCTGCTGCTAAAATGCTCTGCCCATACAATTTTAGTAGCAATTCAGCCCTTTTCTGGAATCAGTTGGTATATCTTCTACATATTCTTCATTATTTATTAGTCTTACTTAGCTAATGATTTCAGCTCTGTCTCTCAGGGAATGACTAAAGCTGGGTGAAGCTTATTATTTTAAAGTATATGTTACATGCAGCAGAAGAGAACTGTCATAGAAAATAAAGGGTTGGGCCAGGAGGGTGAAAACACAGTAATTGTGTTCAGGCATCCCCGGAGATCTTGACTCATATTGAAGAAATAATGCGATTATGATTAGTCATTCTTATTGTTCTTAGAAACTGGTAATTATAAAATGTTGAACCCGAATAGTACAGTTTTAATCATTATGAGAAACAGCATAAAATATTTAAATGTTAACTATATAGAACGAGTGTCTGTTTTTCCTGTCATCATCATCCCTTATACTTCAAAAGATCATTTACATTTTTTGCAGTTTTGTGTGTTCCCATTGTTACAAGCATGTTCCCCCTTAGCCCTGTGTGGCAGAGTCTGTGGTTCAGATCAGGACAGTGAGGCTGGGTGTGATTGCCCCGCTTCCCTTCTAGTGTCAGGAAGGCCCACTGTGTGTGGTACAGATTCCCATTGTTTAGTTTCGCCAAACTCCTTCTTAAGATTTCTTACATAACCCTTTTTCTGTATTCTAGTCCGCCTTTATTCTCTTCCCATTTTCAACACTGCCTACTTATTTATCGGTTTACAGAAAACACGCCTTTTTGTATATGTGCCTGGCCATGCATGTCTTTTTATTATTTACAAATGCCATGTGTTTTGCATGGAGGCTTCTGGTAGCCGTGCTCTGAATCCTCCCTTAGAATCCACCGGCGGTGGCCCGTTTGTCCTAAATCTTCTCGACTGGTCAGGCAGAGTCCCTGTTAAATTGGAGGTTTCCAAGGGCAAGCTGTTAATTCCTTGGATGCTGTCAATGTCCAGCTACAGTATGTGAAGGAAAAATTGAGCCTGGAATGGAATTTATATTCCTGTCTAAGTTGAACGAACTTCTTATTCTTACTCGCTTTTTAAAATACCCGTTATTTATTTCCTGTCCTCACTTTGTTTCTCCCCAGAGTGACACCCCTGTCCTCCCAGAATGTGGTGATTCATCACGGCCAGACCCAGGAATACGTGCTCAAGCCTAAGTACTTTGCAGCCCAGAAGGTGATCTCGGGAGAGCAGTCCACTGAAGGTTCGTTCCCTTTAAGATACGGGCCGGATCAAGTAGCTGCACCTTTTCAGTGTGAGTATCGTCCAGCCAATCATCTCTCTAAGTTATAGTAGCCTCGTCTGAAAACACTTTGGTTTCGATGGCTTGAATGTGTCACAGTAGATAAAATTTTAAAATCACTTAAATAAACCCACATTGGTTCCTAAAACAACCAGACAGCAGCACTGTTTTCTTATTCAGAGGAAAGGCAGTTTGCTTGGCTGTCGGAAAAGAGTCTGAAGTGGCCTGTAATTCCGTTCCTGCAAGATGGTCCCATGTCTGAGGCACATGTGTTCTAATTTTAGACGCAGTTATATGCCTGCCGTGTTTACATTGATAAAATATGTAGGAAGCTGGCCAGGATGCGTTCCTCGTGAGACGTGTGATATGCCCGCGTTATTCTCAATACCCACCTACAGTGGGTATTGTCCTCTTTGGGGGTCCATGTTGTAGTGTATCAAGCAGATGGCATGGCAGGTTTTCCTCTGGATTTGTAAGGAGCCATTGTATCAGCGGCCAGCGTGGTGAATCTCGCACCATGTGGGGAGCTCAAGGACGAGCCCTGGCTGCGAGGGTGGGGAATGTGATGATTTGCGGTTTAGGTATTACAGAGTGTCTCCTGGCAGCATCTGCAGAAAACGTTCCGGATTGCGGCGCAGACCATTCAAAGGCCGGGGCTGGACGTGCGCACTCATTCCAGCAGCTTCCTGCTCGGTCTCCCGTTGACAGATGGCCTGGCCATCCGTTGTGAAAGAGAATGTCAGTCGTAAGGTGGGAAAGGACCGCTTTTCACCACCCAGAGTCCCGAGAATAGCTGAGATAGAATTTGTACTACTGTTTGGCACTTTAGAGGTCTGTATCTGTGTGGATTTGATTCCCTGAGTCCATCCCACCTCCCCGAACTGGTCACTCATAAAATGATGGGTTCTTCCCTCAGAATTGGTCACTTAACAAAAAGAGTATCTAATATAAGGTTTGTATATCCTACTTTGCTTCATGTGAGAAAATTCTGCTCAGTGATCTGAGGCTGGGACCCCAACCTACACGCCCCCCCAGAGCAGTAGTTTGATGAGGTTTATTGGGATGATGAAGAAAGCAGGCCCTGGAGATTTTATTTTAATTAATTAATAATAATAATAATTATTATTTTAAGTGTGTTTTTATTAATTTCAGAAAATAATAATTTTAAGTATGTCTTTATTAATTTCAGAAAGAGGAAGGGATATGTAGAGAAAGAAACGTCCATGAGAGAGAAACATCAATTGGCTGCCTTCTGCACTCCCTCTACTGGGGATCAAAGCTTGCAACCTGGGCATGTGCCCTGACTGGGAATCATATGGATGAACTCCTGGTACATGGGAGGGTGCTCAACCAACTGAGTCACACTGGCCGGCTTTAATATTATTTTTTAATCCTCACTTGAGGACATACTTAGAGGAAGGAGAGGAGAGAGAGAGAAAGAGAAAGAATATCAATGTCAGAGAGAAACATTGATTGGTTGCCCTTCGTACATGCCCTGACCAGAGATTGAACGCACAATCCAGGTATGTGCCCTTACGGGGCATAGAACCGGCAACCTTTTGATGCACTGAACCACTCTGGGCTGAAGCCCTGGGGATTTTAGAGAGGGAGGAATGGAGAAATCATGTAGCTCATCTCCTTGCCCTTCAGCCAAGAAAACTCCCAAGGCATGTGCAAAACAATAGATGTGTCCATCTTGTTTCTAAAGATCCTTTGACTTACGTGCTTTGTTAATATCCCCGTTCTGTGTCTATGGAGTTTTTCTAATCTTAATTTAAAAAAAGGCACATCTTATTTCCTTGTGGTCTCATATAGATCACATATTTTTTAGAAGCTCTCCAAAATTAGAATGTGATGGGGAGAGTTTTTGAAAGCTAATGGTCATACTGATAAAGGAGAGAGTTTATAGCTACATGAAGGTATGGGGAAAGGTGGTCTGAGAATCACTGGCTAGACTGTGGTTTTGGTTTGTTACTTATGATTTGTTATTGGAAGAAAAATTCCCACTGTGTGTGTATGTATATATTTTAAACTCTCAAAGTTTTGTTCAACTGTCTTCTGAAAGATGAAATTATATTTTAGAAGGATGTGTTCCTTATCTGTGTGGCCCATAAATTTCCCACCCATCCTGTTTCAATGTAGTTTCTCTATAGTTGGGAACTGGTAAAGTAATTCAGACTAACATGTGATCACAAAGATGGAGTTCTCTGTTCAACCCCTCCCCACCCCTCAAAGTTGGCGGCCGTTCAATAAAAAGGCCCAGGAACTTGCAAATAGCCATATCGGAGGCCAGGAAAGGAAACAGGGCTATTTTTTGCTGAGACCAGAACTCTACTGAGAACTGGAGGGCTAATGGGAAAGTTTTAAAAAGAGGTAGTTTGGCAGGACTATTAGGATACTAAAATAGCAAAATTGAGCCCGGTCGGCGTGGCTCAGTGATTGAGTGTTGACCTATGAACCAGGCGGTCACGGTTCGAGTCCCGGTCAGGGCACATGCCCGGGTTGCGGACTCCATTTCCAGTGTGGGGCATGCAGGAGGCATGATCAGTGATTTTCTGTCATCATTGACATTTCTATCTCCATTTCTCTCTGAATAAAAAATAAAATAAAGTAGAAAAATTGAGTAAGAACGACAATAGAAAGATTAATACTAGAAAGAAGTTACGGGTGACAGTTAAGATGGAAAAGTATTGTGCCCCCACATTTAACTCCACATCTACCTTTGCATGAGATAAAAGGAACCCCCAAGAAACTGTCCAGGTAACAGAAGGGGAGATTGAGAGAAGTCTGAGGAAGCGCAGAAACTTTGTCTTCTTTCTCATCTTCATAGAACAGACCAAATGCAAACAGACAAGCTCCTTTTACTGAAGGATATGAAGGTCCAACAATAGGAGTCGATAATTCTGACTCTTTAGAAAAATCGGTGGGCATGATGAATCTTGGGATGGAACTGAGGGTCTGGGGTGTCCTCACAGTCCACTGTCATTACTGTGAGAAGCTCTGGGGACTAGAGAAACATTTTGATTGGCAAAGAAACAATGTGTTCCCCATTTAAGCGGGATAAAAAACATGGTCTACAGCAGTGATGGCGAACCTTTTGAGCTCGGCGTGTTAGCATTTTGAAAAACCCTAACTTAACTCTGGTGCTGTGTCACATATAGACATTTTTTGATCTTTGCAACCATAGTAAAACAAAGACTTATATTTTTGATATTTATTTTATATATTGAAATGCCATTTAACAAAGAAAAATCAACCCCAAAAATGAGTTTGCGTGTCACCTCTGACACGCGTGTCATAGGGTCGCCATCACTGGTCTACAGTAATTACCAGTGGGTTGGTATAATACTACCTTGCAAGCAGTAATAACGATGTATTCCTCAGGCTGTAAGCATTGTGTGACTTAATCTGCTCATAATAGGAGGAGGCAGCAGCTCTCCAAGCCCAAGTGAATAAGGATTTGCTGTAGACACCGTAGGCTAAAGGAAGGAGAATTGGTCTGAAGAAGCAGGAAGAAGATGAGGATGGAGGATGATGGGTTCAGTAAAGCAAAACGTGTTAAATAAAGTGCTAACTTTAACACTCTGCAGATAAAACAGACTGGATTGGGAGACACAAGATATCAAGTTGCTGGTGGGATGTTCTCTGTTGTGAGGAGTAAATGTCATTGGAATTTCCCAGAGTTCCGATGGCATAACTCACCACCCCTGTCCCACGTGTGCTTTTCCTACTTCGATTCTGTGTCTTCACCAGCCTCTGCAGCACTTCCTGGGTAACATGGCATCTGGGTTGGGTGTTCTCTGATTGCTGGATATCTCTAGCACTTTATTTATTCGTTGGTCTTAACAGAATTTAATTGGCATGAGTATCATCTAGAGCAGGGGTCCACAGACTTTTTCTTAAAGGACCTGCTAATGAATATTTCAGGCTTCCTGAGCCAAGACACAACTCGAAGTTGTTTTATATAGGTACTTATATAACTATTTAAAATGTAACCATTTAAGACTCTAAAAATTATTCTTAGCTGGCAGGCTTTAAAAAACCAGGCAGCTGGCAGGACTTGGCTCAGGGGTTGTCGCTTGCCAACTGCTGACCTAGAGATTTACAGTCTCCCAGTCTACTGAAAATATCTAGGTTTTGGACCCGATTGGTGCTTGGAGCATGACAGTTGAGCCATAACCAACTGTTCTTTGTTGTCACAGCAGCCCACCCTCCTCACTCTGAAAAGTCTCAGACATATCTCCACTTAGTTTGAAGGCAGCGAAAAGTGTACCAGTATAGCAGCGTTATTTATAATCATCAAAAAGCAAGAACAGTCCAGATGCCCATCAACTGATAATGGGTGAACAAAATGTGGTATATCCTATAATTGGCTATTCAACCATAAAAAGTGCCGACACATGCCACAATGTGAATGAACCTTGGAAACATACATCCTCAGAGAATCTAGACACAAAAGAATCCCGATCCAGAGGCAAATTATATGCCACGTCATGCGGAAAAGAAGTCCTAAGGATGGCCTGGGGTAGAAAGGTCTTCTTTATCCAGTATCTTCCTTGGTGACGTGTAGGAAAGCACTGAGGACATAAGCCAAATGCTGTTGTGCCTGGTTTAGCATTTTTAACACAGAGGAAGAAGAGAGGTTGAAATGACATGATGACATTGGAAAGGCAAATCTTATGAAAATAGCCCATTGAGATTATTAGAATACCACATGCTCAGGAGCAAACCCAACTAACTCACGCGTAAAGAGATTAGTTTGGCACAACCCTCCAGAAAAAGACCTTGAGAGTAGTAAGTATCCACATCGAACTATCTGCTGTTGTAGTAAAAATACCGCGGAATGCTTGATAATGTTAAAACCAGAAAATTATATTTCTGTTATAGACTGCGGTGGAAGGACATTTTTATCATGAGGATTGTAAGTACTGGAGAACTTCCTGAGGTTGAGTGCAGAGTTACTTATAAAGGAGATCCTTATAAAGGATGAGCGGGAATATCCACGTAACGAA